TGCAGAATTCACTAGCTGCAAGCTAATAATTAATATAATCCCATAGTCACAAAATTTTCATGTATCAGTAACAATACAACAGTAATTTGTATGTGTTTTTATTCACTTCCCATTCAAAAAGGTATTTAGGGTCTCTAACCATCATAAGTCTCCAGTGAGGAGAAAAACAGGTTACGAGCCCATGGTTGACAAAGGATTCAAGTGCATAATCAAAACCACCATGATTTTATTGATTTTATCTTGAGGATTAAAATGGCTACTTGATTAGGAGGATGTGATAAAAAAAAAAAAAGGAAAAACATTTGCAGGGCTGTTAGAGAGGTGGTAAGCCTGAATATTTGGAAGAGTGAGTTAGAATAATGGTCTACTTTCTAAGTTTCTGATTTGGGGTGACAACTCTCCTGAATATTCCTATCCTCTTGCCTTTGAAGGATTTAATTGATAATATCAAGGGGAGGAGTTTGGGGTGCAAAATTCCATATGCATTAGCTAAAACGAATTCATCCAACTGGAAAGATAATTTTGCATCCACTGTTACACAGAAAAATCAGAAATGATCACTGGGAGAAAGAAAAGTCTTAGAATAAACATTTAACATCTAACAAAGTGAAAGATATTCTTTTCTGGCACAAAGGAACCTCAGCTGGAAAAACCATTGCTAGTAGCTCTGATCCAGTGCCAATTATTTCACTTTATCCTTTAACCTGGTCATTTAAAATAGGTGGAGACAAAACTAGAAAAAGTCTTAAAAAGCAGTTGTTCCTATTTTACTGCCAAGATCCATGAACTTTAAATTTAAAAACTTCACACCTTATCAAGTGCAATAGAACTGGACAAATTCAGGCTTGATTCTTGGATGAATTTCCAAGAATTCTTAAATCATTAATCTTGTTTGGTAAGCAACTCCCCCAATTTCTCCAGCTAATGGGAAAAAAAAAATCCCTAACATTTACTATAAGTCACAAGAAGCTTTCACATTGAAACATGGTGTAGCAACTCTTCCCATTAAGTTGAATTTCCTCAGCAGAAGCCTTACCATTGAGACATAAATTTCATCTTAAGGCACTAATAATAAAGGGTATGAAAACAGCTAGGAATGAGTCAGATCTTTCCAGAAAGAGAAAACATTTCAAAAACACAAGTCAGTCATCTATCTGGCTTACTTCAACATCTAAAGAGAGAATAAAAGTTTTCATGGCTAACAGATTCAGCTCTTTTCCATTCTCCCAAACAAACTTACTTACAAGTCTTAGATTTACATTCCTTAAGAGGCAGTAGAGAAAAATGGCAAGGATTTGGAACAAACAAACAAGCAAGCAAGCAAATCTAGTTTGTAGCCTAGTCTCATGATTACTTAATTCCATAATGACAGCATGGAGTGCTCAGACCTAAGGTTTTTGAAGTACTTTTTAAGATCACATACCCAGTGACTGAAACTGTAACAAGGTGCTCTTTTCTATTGTTCTGAGGGGGAAATGTAGAAAAATAATTAATTTTTCATGACCAGGTAAATGGAATTTAATCACAAATAAAAAATTGTGAAGAAAAAGAAATCTACTCTGAAACCTGTTTCAGCAGGATTTTCTTATACCTTCCAATGAAATAAATTTTACCACGAGAAAAGAACTAAATAAAAATATCAGTTAGTGTAGGAGACAAATGCTAGTAAATGATTGTGGAGGTAGGATTGTGGGGCAAGATTATCTTAAAGAAAAAATGCTTCCTATGCTCATGTACACACGTGCACACACATGCATACATACACCCACACACACCTGTGCACTCATACTGATTTACAAAGCAGCGAGGATGTAGGGAAGGCTCAACACTATGAGACATGAGCTCAGATATCTCATCCGTTTGCATTTCTACATAGGAAAAGATCTGACACATGTTAATACCCACAGACACACATGTGCGAGGGCCAGCCTGGCTGGCACAGACTCAGAAACAGATGCAGAGAATCCTAGAGCTGCTGGTTTTACAGGAATGATTATATCTGCAGGCTTACACTTCCTCTTGAGGTGCAGGATTTTTATCTTGCACTTCTTTCCAGAAATATCCCCTTTTCAAGGGTATTATGTCCTGGAGGGACTAATCTCAATTCCTCAATGGACATGACTCAGAACAGGACTGCAGGAATTAAAACTAGCAATAACATGGCCCTTTTGGGGTTGGAGTAAATTATTTCTGGATTTAAACGGATTCTGGGGCCCTAGCCGGTTGGGCTCTGTGGATAGAGCTTTGGCCTGCAAACTGAAGGGTCCCAGGTTTGATTCCGGTCAAGGGCATATGCGCGGGTTGCGCAAGAGGCAGCGGTCAATGATTGATATTTCTATCTCTCTCTCCCTTTCTGAACTCAATAAAAATATATTTTAAAGAAACAAACAAAAAAAAAATCCCAGTTTCGGGGGAGGAGGGAAGAAAGCCGAGTTCTGGGTAGAGTTGGAGATGGAAAAGCCTGAAAGTCCAGAAATCAATATAAACAAAAGAAATGAGCATACTTAAAGGGGTTCTGACTAAGTATCACTGCAACCGAGTTTGTTGACTGACATCCGCCTCTGACCCAGGGAACTGAAAGATCATAATTGATATATTTCTTCTTAGGAAGGCTCAGCTGGGAGTGATGTGGTGGGTTACTGAGGGTGGGGCAGACACAGAGGCCTAAGGCTCAAGTATTGCTCCTAAGGTTTCTGCTTGCCTGATTTTGAAGGAAAGGGTGCTAAAGCAAAAGGATCAGCAGCTGGCAGCTCCGTAGTCCTGGAAGGAAGGGATGTGATGGAAACAGAGCCAGCTATGGACTGCCTGTTGGTTTGCGAAACAATTTTGTAGGCAGCAATGGGCTGGGCTTCAGGACTTGGCTCATCTTCTGGGCTATAGTGACGGGAATATTTGGATAAAGACTGGGGACGGAATGATTTGCCAGCCATGGGGCCCGAGGCAGCTTCTTTCTGAGGCTGAAGTCCTTTGTTTCTGTCGTTAAGGTGGCCCCCAGATTCCAGGGAGGCTCCCCTGGGTGAGATGCTGTCAGGATGGTCTGCTGCTTGTACAGAATGGGAGGGGAGGTTGGATTGTTGGGCAAAACCAGCCATGGAATACTGAGATCGGACAGAGGAGTACACTGCTCTGTCAAGGCCTGAGAGCTGAGCGACCTCGTCTGTCTGACTGAGAAGACCGGCCTGTGTGGGCAACTCCTGGGAGGCGCTCTGGGCAACTGTTACCTCCTCCATACTTTTCTTCTTGGTAAAAGGAGCTCTTAAGAACACATCCGCCTCCTCTGGCTGGGAAGGAGCCACACTGCCCTTGGAGACAAAAGGGGCTTTGGAGAAAATGTCCATTTCGTCCGTTGGAACCCTTGAGCTCTTAAAGGGGGCTGTGGCAAAAACATCTGGCTCACCAACACCATCAGTGGTTGGTTGTGTGGGGGCTTGAAACTGGTTCTTTTTTCCACCTTGCACTGCCTTTGCTGGCTCAGTAGAGACTTCTGGCTGAGCGAATGGAATGGCTCCTACCAGCTTCCCCTGCAGAGGCTTGCAGCTCTCATCCTCGTCTTCAGATTCCATGAGGAGAGGGCGAGACCCACTGCAGTCTAGCATGTCCCCCTCGAGGTCAGTCCCTTCCTCCTCGCTGCTGTGGAATGAGCTGTTGCTTGAAGGGCCATCTCTGGCCAAGTAGTCAGATTCTAAATTGTTCTGTGTTTTTGTGTCAGGTACTCTGGAGGGGTCTGGATACAGGGGAAGGCCTTTAACGCCCGTTGATTCTTTAAAGTGCTCTACAGTTATTACAGGACAGGGATTGGGCTCTCTCTGGAGACCTAGAAAAGCACAAAATGCAGAATTAATGCGCAGCTGGTTCAATTCTCCGTGGAACATTTAATGGTCAACCCACGGCAGTAACATTATGGGACCAAATAATAGATGTTGAACATGGAAAAGGAAAAACAGAAAAATAAAAGTCAGGCAAGGAAACTGCACACAAACTGGAACACAACCAATCACTGTCTCACATTTTGGGACATGATAAGCACAATGTACAGGAAAGGAGATGAAGACGTTAGGCACACAGACATTTAGTGCAGCTATGCAATGCTCCTACTCACGGGGCTAGGCACTGACACTTGCTCTAGCTGGCACTGGCACATGATGGAATGAAAACAAACCCAGCCACTCATCTTCACGTATACCATGATGGTTCTGGAGTATGCAGAAATACTGTCTGGGGACAAATTCAGTTCAGTATCTGACATGTGGTCATGCTCTGCCGGTATCTGAGGACACCCATCCTTTGCCCCCAAACAGCAGCAAAACACGGCTGCTAGATAAATGCAAGTTTACTTGCTGATTGACATAAAAGTACCTCAAACAGGAATACTGAAGGCACTTTCTCAGGGGAGGAGACATAAGCAAAATTATATTAAATTTCAACTTTAGCTGGAGTAGCCCTGGAATTTTGTTTTCTGTCTTTTAAGTTAGCAAAGATCTCCTCTGTTTAAATGATTCCATCTTAAATTTCTTTAAACAGAGTAAAATGTATGGGAAATTACAGAAGTATTTGCAAACTCTAATACACTAGTCTATTTCTATCTAGTAGAAGTGCCTCAGGGTGCTCTGGCTTTTAACATCAAATAGACAATTATCAGAATGCAAGAGAGCTTACCTTCCAAGAAATATTAGCAGGTTAGAAGTATGTCATTGGGCACATGTTAGCAAGAGGGCAGGAAAAAGGCATATGTAACTAAGCAAGAAGAATCCAGAGAAAGGGTGGTTGGGGGTAAAGGTATCATTTCATCATGGGTTTCCCAACCCACCAGGATAGGAACATTTGGTAAAAAGATTTGGATTCTATAGATGACTTGGAACCTCTGTACAGAGGTAATTCAATCATCCCAACCCCACATAGTAGTCCTCTCCCCTTCTATGCAAACCATTTGCTCATAGAAACTTCTGCTAACAATATTCCCCTTTAAGTTTGCTTAAAGTAAGCACACAGAACACAGCTGAAGCAGCATCAAAATCAGTTTATTGGGAAACCAGTTGCTATTACATTGTAAAGAGTTGCAGAGAGAGACCCGCACATTTTAGAAGATACTGTACAAAAATACTATACTCTTCTGAATCCTATAACTTTTGAGCAGTGTTTCTTTTTAAATAATTCTGACCTTAAATATTGTTTCCAGAAACAAAAGGTGTCCTCCCCCTCCTTTTTATTTCCCTTCCTAACAGTTGAAATGCATTTGATGAATCCCACATCAGTCTTGAAGTTAAATTCTATACTGGTGCAAATGGCTTTCTGAATAGCATTTGGAGAATAAGTTTATTTTGAAGAGGATAAATTTTTCCTTGTGTTACAGCTTTAACATATGCACTTGCATGATATGAAAGCATTAGGGGATAGGAAATAAATGGAACACCTTCTCCCTTGCAATCTATGTGGAAAGACATAATCCTAACCTCTCAGGCAAGTTTACTGATATTAGATTTGTCACAGTGATTCCCAGATGATGATTTCTGGGAGGAAATTCAAATGAAAGGGGGAAGAGAAGTTTTCCAAAATAAGGATTGCCAAGCAAAGTGGTATGAGAGGCCCCCCGCCCCCCACACTCTTTGAACCACTTTCTAACAGCATCAGATGCGCAAATTTTCAGTTGCCAAAACTAAGGCACAAATTCTTAACTTCCAAATCTACCCTGAAAGTTGATGTTATTATGCTGGTTCTGTGGGAGAACAAAATATCATTTAGGAAAAAAATGGCAAGTTTAGTCAAGCCAATGACTGATTCTGACATCATATGGATCAATAATGAACACTAGTTTGCCCGAGTTAGTGTTTTGGGGAAATTTAAATTAAATTCAGTGAAATATATTTGTGTGCAGAGATTGTCCCAAAGCAGTTACCTATAGAACCTGGGTCACGTTGGATGCCCACAGTGTTCGATTACATTTTGAGAACTCTAAGTACCAATCAGGGGTGGCCATTTCCAGAGTTGGACAGGATGGAAGAACATGCCAGATTTATCAAAATTACTTCTGTTAAAAAGTGGGTTCTTAGTCAAGTCAAATGGAAGCCTACCAACTTAGAGCATATTCTATACCCTTCATGGTGCAATGGGAAAATCATACTTAAAGTTCCAACAGCTTTTAAAATTCACACACACAGCCACAAAAATGCTTTAACATAGAGTTCAAAGGGAAAATCGGTCTCCTGTCCTTCAAAGCGAGGCCAGACTGCTTCATATCTTTCAGCATGAATCTGCTTACAGGATTGGAAAGATATATGTGAAGGTTTCTCCTGAGAAGGCCAAGTCCCTCAACCTGTTCATTCTTTTTAGTAGAGGGGCAGTGTGATCAAAGCAGAGAGCAAACACCTTCTGCAATTCTCCAAGCCTGGCACTTTGCAGACCAAAGAAATGCTGATGGATACGGAAAAGCACAGACAACCACATTCCCTCAGGGAATTTTGATGGTGACAGCACAAGAAACGGAGTAGTCAAGAAGAGAGATTCTAGATAACTGTAAACAGAAGGTAGACGTTGAGTTTTGTTGGGAATTAGAGGTCTTTTTTGGAACATGAGTGTGTTCTTGTAGGGAAAACACGTGTTTTCAAGGTGAACAGTCTGTGTATGAAGATAGCCTTGCACCATCAGGAAACATGTGCGAAGTAGTCTGCCTACTAGTAATGAAAGGGTTTATACTAATTTAACCTCACGCCTTGGTCCAGTTCCTTTGGTAATTAATGGCATGCACAGCAGATGTCCTTAACCACAACCACAGAGCTCAATAAAGATAGACAGTTGTTGGGGGGGGGGGCGGGGGGGGTTAAGGCCAGGACCTGACCACATTGTCTGCACAGGGTCTTCCTTATCAAGAAGCCTAAGGTAGGGCATTTTGTTCTAATTCCTCGAACTAGGTCATGTCTCTTTTTATTTTGGTTGAGCACATTAAATTAAGCAACAAGTCAAAACATTTCTTTTTCTTGCTCTGACGTAGGATTGTGTGCCAGGTTAAGGTTAAGCACACTTTTCAAAACTCCATTTTAGTCTATTTTGAGGCTCCAAAATTATACAGATTTCAGTAAGAGCTCACATGCTTCAGAGAGTAGGAAAGGAGTCCCCCAAAATATTTGATGACTTGGCAACTATCCTCACTAATTCTCAATTAACTTCAAAAGCAATGAGGAGTGTTGAATGATTTGGGAAAGGTTTATTCTGAAAATTTTATCAGGTGGACATAGTGAAGGTCATCAGCATGCTTTCTAAAAAATCAAAATGTGAAGACTTAAATTTCTGACTGGTTATTCCTTAATATAATACATCACGCACAACCCGAATTTCACTTTCCTCTATAATAACTTCTATGACCTTTTGGCTTAGATGATCAAATTAAGCATTTGGTTTGACCATATGCTGTGTAGTCGCATTAAAACCCACGACTGGGGAATAAGGGATTTGCTAGGAGCCAATATTGGCTAGTGATGCTGTGCCTCTGAAGCCAATGGAGCAATTAAATGGGAGAGATTTCTCCCTGGGCAAAAAACTGCTGTTGCCAACATAACATGTTTAATTAAATTGGCCTGGGTACATTAAAGATGAAATTAGAGGAGGATAGCTGCAAATCTGTGCTCCATTTTACAACCCCGTGTCTGATCATATCAAATGCAGGCGCACGTGGTTTTGTTCTCCCAGACCACAAGGTGGAGCCAGGATAGCCATGACTCATTAAAATGTCCTCAGCATGTCTCTCACATGTGGCCACACTTCCCTTGTGCGCAGGTACTTATTGTCACTCAACAATGTGTTTCAATCCTTTTTGCAAAAGTGGGTTTTCAGCTCAGGAAAACAGCAGCTATTTTAAGTTGTTTATAGCTCTAAACATCAATGCTCCTGTTTAACAGATAAAGTCTTTATTCCCCTGTATGTTTACATAAGAAATTTGTTTACAGACTTGTTTTTATATAATACTTGCGTAGCAATGTTCAAATTTCACATTTTTACTGCATAAGATAGCTTCATGTACCTGTTTGCTCTGTCTTCTTGGGAGAGCGGGGATAATGACCTGTGGTAAATATACATCCACGTGAGGAGGGGCGTGCAATAGGGCAGAGAGTACTGGCAGGAAAAGAGTACATTCAGATACTACATCAAAGTGGGAACCAAGAAAGTGTCTTCCATTCTAGCAACTACCACCACTAGGTTACTTTGCATTACCCAAAACACCTCCCTCCCCCACCTCAGTGAAGGGACACCAAGGAGAAACAAAATGGTATCTTGTTACAGATTATTTGAAATGGAAGCCATTCAGGATTCATTCTGACTCAAAAAACCCAAGCACATCCAGGAACATTACTAGCATGGACAAGGAAAAGGCTAACAGCTCACAAATGTATAGTCTCTAAAGGGGAATGAAAGATAGCTTTGTAATATCTGGAGTATTTCAGTAAATATTCCATTTTAAAATTCATGTGATAGTTTCTCTGTTCCGCTTGGCAGCCTCTAATTTGCTTAATTCAGTATTTTGGACAATCTTATCTTTTTTTCTTTTCATTTTTCTTTTTTTAAATGAGGTTACCCTGTCATTTTTATCTCCAAACGCTAAGTTAGTGGCTATAGTATCTGGATAGTCTTATAAACTGAGAAAGTTAAAGACTCATGGAGCTCACAAACTTCATCATGGAAACTTTATTTTGGCCCAAGGTATCTACAGTGTGCTGGGCTGAACAAGTTATTATCTTCATACCTCTGGGATGAGGTCAACCCCAAAGGTCCCCTGCTTACCACAGCACTGCTGAAAGCAAAGCTGTTTCTGATCTGGGAGAAGATTGGGCTGACTTAAATAAAAATGATCAATTATTGGTCAGGAGAGTGGGAAAAAGTATTATAAACAAAATTAACATTTCATCTTGAGAAAAACAGACTCTTTTTTTGTTTGTTCCCCTATAATTATTAGCAATCCAAGTTTTATAATTATAATTTAAGTGGCAAGTTCATTATCAAATGACACTGAACAATGTGACAACCTATTTTAGAGGTATTTTAAAAATATGTATCTTCCAATTTTCTAAACTACACTAAAGACAGGCTAAACCAGTCATTCACTTATTCAGAATATTAAGAAAGTTAAGAATGATCATTGTCCCTTTCCATTATAAGGTTCTTTCTGGAAATGTTCTGTGGATTATATTCTTTACTATCTTTAATAGTAACTACTCTTGATCTTAGGGTGGTGATTTTGCCTTTGGAAACAGCTAAATGTCACTCAGAACCAAGAGTGGTAGAAAAAGTAGACTAAAAAAACACACACCTATTTTCAGGTGCTGAAAGTGATACCAATTAGGTAATAATAACTGATTTTCTTATACCTTATTACCTTCCTTGATAGTATTTCTAAGGAGAGCAGTTTCAAAAATAACTTTAATGATTAAGATAAGTATTAGGTTCCCAACTAAAACCAAGGAACAACACTCAATTAGATGTCAAAATTCCAATATGTCTGCTAAAGTAATCATTAATTATAATCATATTTATAAGTGTCCACTTACTTAAGCCTTATCTCTTGTGATATGTTTTTTAAAACAATGGGACTTGAATTTGGCAATCTAGTCATTAGAATGCTCTAAAGGGAAAAAATAATAATTTGAGATGTTTTCTACTCTTGCACAATTGGAATAAAAGCAAATCAGAAACATATGCTTATATGATTTTCTAACCACTTTGCTGTACACCTGAAACTAATACAGAATTGAATATAAACTATAATTGAAAAATAAAAAAATAAATTTTAAGATAATAAGATATCTAATTTAAAAAAACACATATGCTTACAGTACTTATCCATTTTTATATAGCAGATCATTGATTATATATTTTTTAAAGAATCAAAATTTGATATCGTTTTGTTGTACTCTGTGTGTGAGAGTGTGCATGCGTGGGAGTGTGTAATATTAAAAAAAGGAACATCTCTGTCCAAAACTCTGTCATAATTTAGGCTTCTAATTCAGATAACCAAAAAAGAGCAACCCAGGTTAGTAAAAGCCCATTATAATTTTCTAAAAGGTAAACTCTGCTACAGTAAGAACTACATTAGATAACTGAAGAACATCAGGATATATAAATCCTTCATAGTCCTCCCAAAGCATAATAATATATACTTAGAGCCCTATAATTCTATAATCTTAGAGACCATGAAGTCCAAACCCATCATTGTCTAAACAAGGACAGCAGCTCTGGGAAGTGATGCGCCTGCTGAAGTAACTCAGACAGTGACTGGCAAAGGTCAAGATGAGATTCCAGGTGCTCTGTCCTGTCCAGGCCTCTTCTCCCACTACCCTGTCTCAGATCCTACACTTGTAAAATGAAGTGGGTGGACTAGATGATGACCTCTAAGGTCCCTTTTATAGCTCCATAAGTCTATTAATTATCAGCACACTACACTCATCTCAAATAAACCCTTTTAGCTTAGGGATAATGCTATATATATATTAAAAGGCCCCATTTATTGGCTCACTCACTGTATTCCTTCACAGAAAAATAGTTCTCCCCTCTGAGGCCCTACTCCTAAAGAATTTCATGTCATTGTCCCCCTTGGGCTTCCTCCATCCAGTCTCTGGCTTCTAGTCTGCTCTTTTCATTAATGGTCTCTATTGAGCCAGATGACTAGATAATATATCTCAATGTGATTAGGATAATACATGAAAGGAATAAGTTAGAGACACCTAATTTCTAAACTATACATTCTATGGTTTCAAGAAACTAAATATTCATTATATTTTTAACACATATGTATGAAAAAAAAACAAATTGAGAAACGTAGGCATAAAACATTATTCTTATTTTAAAAATAAACATTTCCTTCATTAGTTTATACATTTTTTTCTATGTCCAGGAAACAGAATACAATTTTGATCTTCAATAATATTCCTGTCCATAAAGGGGCAAGCTAAGTCCCATTTTCACTGCTATTCAACCAGGAAGAGCTCGTCAAAGATGTCTTTTTTAAATCCTTAGCAGGAAGGCTTGTGCCTTCCTCAATTTGGAAATGATCCATTATCCTCATAGAGGCCTTTACTTAGCTCATGTAGCTTCAGTTGGCATGGGAAGTGTTTCAAGTCAGAAGGAAGACTGAAAGATTCAAACTTTTTCTCTGATGCCTTTCAAAGGCTGCGCTCACATTGCTGAGGTCAAAGCTTGACCTCCAAAGTGCATGCAGTGTTTTGCAGACTGTTGCTGTTCAACTTTCTTTTTCCCTCCCTTAAAGTGCAAATGTGAGGAAGAAACAAAAGTACCAGATAGAGAAACAAGCAAATGGACTTGGAATTTTATTTGTACAAATCTGACCAACTAAGAGTTTAGTTTCCCTCTGATCATGGACAATGGCACTCAACGAAGAGAACCACAGTGGGATTCTCTGTGCCCACCTTTGCAAAAGGGTAATTTTTAGAAAACTGCTTTCTATGTAAGGAAAAAAAAATACACTTAACTCAGTAAGGACATATACAGAGGGTGACCATGAGGCATGTTGTCATGTCAGTGCAAGGTCCTTTATTTATTTTATGAACAATATTCTAAGGTTAGTGAGGAACTATGCTTTGTTTTATTTTTCAATCTAGGAAGCCAAGGAAAACCAACTGAACATTTCATTGGCTGCATCCTTCAATCAAACATCAGAGAGAAAGAAAGGTAAGTAGCCAGAGTCAAATTGTGCCTAGCTTGTCAGCACACTTATTTCTGTTTATCTGCAAATAAACAACATGCTTATTCTACAAAAACAGAAGACCTGCTGAAAGCTTATAGCAACGCACAAGTCTACTCAAAATGATTCCATATGTTACACTGTAGGATTGCAGAGTAAAGTTATACAAGGGAAAGAGATCAAAAACCCTGTACAGACACCTGATATCAGACTTGAAACGCCAAGTGGAAACAGAACTATTCAGCGTCTTCATTTATACACAATTTACAGTATTTGATTCAAAATAAAAATCACAAGAAAAATACATCTGTTTCTGCTACAATTCCTTCCCTTCCCCCAGCCACCCCCCAATGAAAAGTCTTCTAATAAAAGGTATCATATTATCACCATTGTCTTGTTTTGGTCTAATTCTGAGATCCCGGCTTGGGATGGTTAACATGAAAAGGAATGGCAATATTTGGGATTTATATCATGTACACATTTATCCAAGGATCTTAAGTACTTGCAGTCACATCTCCCGATCTGAGAAATTGCGGTTCAATGGAAGCCAGAATGCTGGATGAATGCTGGGCAGGTTGCATGGGGTGTAAAATCCCTTGGCTAAGTCTATGATCAAACAAGGTCAACGTTGGTTGGCTAGAGCTGGGCTCACTTTGTCTTTTCAAATATATACCATCAGTCAGTCAGTTTTACCCTTTCTTAAACCACACACCTGTCTCCAGGCTACTGCCTAGAGTTAAGACCAACCGAAGAAGCCATGTCTTCATAATAATGCAGCAGGATAAAAAGCGAAAGCAGAGAAACACATTCATCAGCATCTGGCCAAAGGAGACGGGTCGGGAGGATTGATTTGGGAGGCCATTCCTAGCAAGAATGAGGCAAAGGTGTCAGTTCACTAGTTTCAGTTACAGTTAAGCTTTTGGTGGAGTTGATTCCGTCTGAGGTGAAGCTCATGGCATCTAGTGCTTGATTTAAGATAATGCTATTGAAGAAGGGTAATGAGAAAACACAGCAAACAATCAGGGAGGAACTGGCCAAGAAATATCTGGAGGGCCAAATTGATTTTCTTTCCTTATCATTTCTATAGGAGAAGGCAAGGGGTAGGAGATAAGGCCTAGAGGGCCCCTTATTTGCAGATTTTTAAAAAAATCATTTTTCTTATAATTCCGTAATGAAAATGTATATTACGGTATGAAGGTTACAGAACTGCATCTGCTACTGGGTCACGGCTACAGGTCTATGAGCTGATCCACCAGCAGTAAAGACCTGGCTAGGTTGGGAAGACTGGACTCAGAGCTCCCACTGCTGTTTCTAGAGTGCCCACCTGGAAGTGGAGAGATAGGAATTCAGTACAAAACACAGAGGGTTAAGGGTTAGATGTGCAGAGCAAGCAAAGGAGAAAAACCAAACTAAAACAAAACCCTACAGAAGCAACAATTTACATTTGCAAACTCTTACATGTTGATTTTTAAACATATAAATTAGGTATCCGCCACCTCCCGTAAAAGGCTCAGGCACTGTGTGCACACCATCCTGTAGGCAGGACACCTTTCTAATGAATATATATATATATTTTACCTGAGAACTGCTGGCTATATACTAACTTCTTGACAACATAGCATCATCTCCCTGATAGAGTAAAAATCAGTAATCTTGCTTTGGGAAGACAACAGTTATTAAGACCATTGCAATAAAAACATGCTTTAAAAATATATATGTTTTGTGGCATGTTCAAATGATTTGACTCCATCAGAGAGGAAAAAGTATGTTCCACAAACATTCAAAAAATTCGAATTATATCAAAGCACCATTGTTAATCTCTGGGAAGAATATTTATTATAAATTGTTCTAATCATGATAAAAAAATGTTCAGTGCTTTTTCTGATATATGCCTTCAGGTTTCCACTGACTGAAAGATCACTTATTTTTGGCCTGATGCTTTGAAAAAGAAACTTTTGGTCAAACTATTTAATACTTTTCTTCTCTCTAAAGAAACACATGGCCAGGCTTTAAGATACCTCTATCAGTATCTCTATCTGTATCTGTATCTCTACCTATCTGTACTGGTCCAGCCCACAATGATTGTCATTATCCCCAATATCCTTCATTAAATGTTGCTCTTTTTTCCCCCTTGAAAAAAAGGTACACCACTATTTTGTAGAGAGCTGATATCAAGCTCTTTTCCCAAACCTCTCTTTCTTACCTTGTGGGTTTTTGGTTATCAATACAGGAATAGGGTCAAACTCATCTTCTGCCACCTTGTCCGAGCCCTCAGGGACATCAAAACCTGAGATGAGATTACTATCTTCTGCAGCTTAATACAGAATGCAAGTACACAAGCAGAAACAACAGAAGCAGAGATTAGCAAATGAGAGAACATGTAAGAGGCACAGAGTTCCCAATTGTTTCTCAATCAATGCAGTTTTTTAAAGATGAAAATGCTTATTTTCCTGAGTTGAAATAAATGTAGCAAAATTGGAAAATTTAGGGAAATAGCAGAAAAGGTTTTAGCGCTGGCCATGTTAAGACTTTCATAAATGATGAGGGAGAAGGGTTATAAGATGAATTCCCTCTGCCATTATAAGATCATTAATTGTAGTTACTGTGAGGTATTTCTTCAATGTGAGTAATTCACAAAAGCACAGTGATTAGTCATTTATCTTCTTTACTGAACAAACAGAGGCCTGACTAACAACATCTGAAAAACTGAAAACCATGGGTTGGGGTAGTTTCTCCTTACAAAGCAACCGCTATGTACAATGCAAACAAGTGCTTATTGGAGGACTCACCGCCCTTTGATTGGGAAAATAGACTTTCATACCTCTGATGCCTCAGGGAATGTTGGGGCACAGGATCACATGCACTGAGATTCCCAGCAGAAGCTTGTTAAAATATTCTTCTCCCTTCTAATTAAGGCTCTCCTACCAGCAAGTGCTAGCTAAGTGCCTATTTTGCAAGTACTGCTCCTCTGTAATTACACGTTGCTGCTGACACACTCCTGTCAGACATACTTGGTAAACAGGTAACTTCTTTCTACATGTTCTATAAAAACATAATCATTTGAATGCTATAAAGGGTAAAAACAAAAGCTCAGCTATTACCACTGCAAACCACAGGCTAATTACTTTTCAGTCAACTTGGGGAGGCTTCCTTTTTGAATTTCCTTCAGAAGGACTTCTAAACTGTTCCTTTTCTATGTATTTGCTCCTTCTAGAAAACCACACTCACTACCCAAGCACAGAAAGAAGTTTAGTGAATGCCTGTGTACAGTAAGCCAGGCACTGTGCCTATCACTTTCACAAACTACTCACAGAATAGAACTCAATGCAAGCTACTTCTGTCCAGCAGAATTAAAAACCAGTATTAACCTAAGACTAAGAAGTGAAAATGGTAGATTAAAAAGAGAAATCTTGTAAGTAACTGTGACTCAAATGTTAACTTAAATTCAAAACTTTTACAAATTCAATTCTTGAGGACTGGTGCCTATTTATCACTATCCAAAATGTTACACCATATTTGATGAAACAGTTTTAAGTTCTAAGGCCAACAAGTATCATATTAATAATTATAGTCAGTGGTTAATCAACTCAACCATCTACTTGAATTGACTTCAAAGATATGTAGCTCGGACCTCCACCAATCTGTTGTCTAAGTCTTATTAAATATTCTTTCTGAGCGGGACTATAACACAGTGGCTGAGAATACTAGCTCAAGTTTTGCACATAAGGAGGTGGTTAAAACACTTCACTAGCAAAGACTTTTGGTAAGAAAAAATTTCAGGAGGTGTTCAGTTCTCCTTTAAGGACACATGTGGGTCCAAGAAGAAGAAAGCATTTACCTTTATGGGCTGGAGCAGAGATCGCTATGGGGGCAAACTCTTCCAGAAGGTCGGTAGTAGGGTTAGAAAGCAGAGAGCAATCGATCAGGGAATCTTCCCCGGTGAGAGAATCTGAGTCCAGATTAACAGCATCCCAGGTCAGTGATGGCATTAAATGGCACATACAACAATATCACAAGATTAGACCTTAGCCTTTAAGTTACCGCATTTACCAGTACATGTCATACAAACAAGCCAAGGCAGGAGAAAGAAAACCAAAGGAAACACGTTAAACACTCTGGATTTCATCTACAGAAGCATGTATTCCTCTTAACCTTAATATATAAATATGGAAGAATTTTTTGCTCAGAGGTTATTAGATAAGCAAATATGTGATTTGGATGCCAATAAAACTTTAGCAGCTCAGTTTTCAGCAAATGCCATTTGGGAAAAAGAACTTTTCAAATAAAGAGTTTCACTTAAACTTCCCCTAAACATTCATGGAAAAAGAATCACTATAGAATGAGGTGACCAATTGACTAGAAGGGGGTTGTCTCTGGCTTATTATTAGTGTAATATGACATGATTAAACAGTTCTTTCCAGACCGCAAACAGATTCCTATGCAGAATAGAATGACCTTGCCCCTTACTAATATTCTTTAAATCTGAATTGCTCCTTTGAACACATAATTTTGCTTTTAGATAAAGAACAGAAGACAAAATTCAGAGTTCAAGTATTTTAACACATGAATTATTTTCTGAAAAGTTTTCTAGAAGAAAATAACCAAGTAAGCACAAGGAAAGGAAACCCTATTAAATTATTTTAACCTGGTGAGTTAATTTTCATACTTCCTAGACTTCTAATTGTTTCCATTCCTAGTTAGGATCGGACATTTTTATCAAGGTAATTACGGACTCAAAAAAAGGAAGGTTATCAAATCTGTATTTATGGGCAGTTAAGGAAGTCTACTAGGAGTGAACTTGGAAAAATTAGGGTGAAATGCTGGAAACAGCAAAGATTTCAACTTTGCCTACAATTTAATAGCAAATCACCTATATGATTAAAGCACTGTGCTAGGAACAGGGTGTCAACATCCAGAAATGAGCTCCATGGATACCACTGTTAGAGGGGAGAGACTGCTCAGTAACCTGGAGGAGTTAAGGGCATCCTTACAGCTCAGCAGAGTTCTTTAATTAAGGAGGTGGAAGGAATCTGCCACCAGTGGAAAAAAAAAATCCTGAATAAAGATAGACTGTAATCAGAGAAAGCCCAGGGATCACTCTACAAAGAACTCCAAAAACATAATCTGCTTTTTGGCGAGGAAACACATCACTCAACATCTAGAAGCTGGGACTGCAACAATGCAGGGCATCCCTTCTGGGAGGAACTAACCAGGCTGCAAAATAAACCCTGGACCATCTGTCAGGTGGAAAGACTGCTCTGAGAGCTCACCACATCAAGCAGTCCCTGCCGCTGCAGAGACTCCTGACTGACCTGTGCGGTTCGAGGTCACAGACTCCGTCTGAGATGGGAGGCGCTGGGGCACTGGGGGCTCCAGTCCTGGTATGAGACTCTCAACAGCAACATCAGCTTTTTCTTTTGTAACAGAGCATTAAAAAAGGAGAATAATGGGTAAGGGAAAGGCAGTCAGAAGTTCTCTGGACAATTCTATCAAGGCTTTCTCCTATAGGTTTCTAAAATGCCAGTCTCAGGAGAGGTGGAAAGCACAGAAGTTACTTTATTTCTGCTGTTTTGAGTATCTGGGCTCCACTGATTGAGCAGGTCTGTGCAAAGTTAACCACTGTGGCCAGTCTCAGTGATTCTCAGTTTTTATAGATAAATACAGAATAAGAGCTATCCAGGAGATCTCTTCCATGTCAGAAAACAAACTGAAAGGCACCTTAATATCTTCTGTTAATTTTGTTTTTCTCAAGGGATAAACTTGGGAGCCTTTCACATCCTCTGTGCCTTGCAGAGGCCACTAGTCCATCTGTAATCCCATCCCATGATGCAGTGTGGTGGTATCACGCTATGAGACATCCCCCAGCTAGAGGCCCATCTCTCCGCAGGACCGTGGCCTCTCTGAGTTGCACCCCTGGAGTACAGGGGTCCTGGGCATTTTGTAGGTCTTGCCTGCCTTGCGGTTGGAGCACAGAGAAATGTAAGGACAAGCAGACCAAGCCCCTTCCCCAGTTTCTACTCCTGAGGCTTCACCACCAGGCATGTGTTGTGTCAGTTACTAATACCTGGCACGTAGAGAGGCCTTCTAAAGAAGACCCTGCTAAAGGTAGGGTCCAGCTTGAAACCAACTTTTTTCATGAAGCTTTTGTAACTAAGTGTGAATTTTCCCACATCCTTCCTCATTCATAAGACATCACTCTAGAAATCTCAGGATATCAAAACAAGGCAAAAATAACAGTGTTGTGCAGCTGGAAGACAGAGAAAACACTTGATTTGAGGTGCTAACCAAGGAGATTAAATAACCTTGGCTTCTGGGTTAGCACAAGGCCTCGTCCAACAGCAGAAGGCTTGGTGGCATTTCCATTCCTCACCAGGGCTACTCACTAGGGATCTGTTAACCAGTTAGATATAATTCTTGAAATAGACACACACATCATGCATTACTGAAGAAACAGAAGATGACAACTTTACCAATTACAGCATCAGAAGTGCTGCCAAAAGGATCTGTCATAGGCAAGAGGTCAGGGAGCAGAAGAGAAGTGTCAGGAGATTTGAGTCCCTCAATTAGCTTTTCTAGGTCGGGCAGAGAGGTAAAGAGAAAGCAAAATGCAATGAGATATTAAAGCAAGCTGATTATTTTCCATTTTCTATGCAAATACATTTTAGTGGGGTCAACATTTTGTATCGATTCATCATAAAAATCCTGTTAGTATATTGTTAAAAGTAGTCTTTCAAAGTTTGAAGTTTAAAAAATGATTATTTCCCTAACTGAAGTAGTCAACTCTGTGAGGCATTCAAGACTAGGTTTGCTGGTTTTTAAATTTGAGGTACAATTTACACTGAATAAAAGTAATCAATTTTAAGTGTATAATTTGCTGAATGTTAACAAATGTCCACATTCATAGAAGCACCACTGAAATAATGATGTAGAAAACATTTCTACCACCCTAGAAAGTACCCGTGTGCCCCTTTCTAATCAATGTCTTCTTCTCACCCCCAGACTCTGGTGACAACTGGTCTGTTTTCTATCCTGATAGCTTTGCCCCCTCCTTCCTTTTTTCCCTAGGATTTCCTATAAATGGAACCATAATGTATGCAGTCTTTCTGTCTGGTGGTCTTTATTTATCATAATGCTTTTGAGATTCCTCTACATTGTTGCATGTATCAGTAGATTGTTCTGTTCTATTGCTGGGTGGTGTTCTATTGTATGAATGCACATTTTGTTGATTCATTTACTAGTTGATGATGTTTGGTTGTTTCCAGTTTTTAGTTATTAAAAATAAAGCTGCCATAAACATATGCATATGTCTCTGTGTATTCATATCCCTTCCTGGGCTCAGTTTTGAATCTCTCTTTTTTTACTTGCATTTAGAAATGGTTTATAACTAAGAGAATATAATAAACTATGCCCAAGTTAATGTCAACAATCATTTATTGTCTGCCAACTGAGAGTCTGTGACATGCTATTACTTTTGACATCCTGTGACTAAGAAACAAAAGGATAACAGAAGCCACCAGATTTGTCACACCTGGTAACTTAATGTGTGATAATCTATACATACTAAGATTCATAACTCCTTTAACCCTGATCCATCAACAACTATCCATTTATCTTTAACCTATTAATGCTAGAGGATTAACTTAAAACAAAGTAATAAGTCATAGAATTGTGTAGAAAGAAGGGAATTAAGAACTCATACGTCCCTTTGCTTACAAGAAGACCAAGGTCACATAAATTCTATAACTTGCCCAGTTAAAGGCCAATTATCAACAATGTTTTTTCTATCACCAAAATAAAATGCCATTAAGATAAAACTAAAATTAAATTGTTAGAGATAAAGAAAAGACTTAAAATTCAAGTACGTGTATATAACATTTTTAAAAAAAATTTAAATCCTCAACTGAGGATATGTTTTTATTGATTTTAGAGAGAGAGGAAGGAAGAGGGAGAAACATTGATCTGTACCTTATGTACCTCACCTGGGAGTGAACTGCAACCTGGGTGTGTGCCCTGACCTGGAATTGAACCTGTGACCCTTCGATGCATGGGCCAATGCTCCAACCAACTGAGCCACACTGGCCAGGGCTGTACATATAACATTTTAATGTATCTGTATTCATCCTGGGCCATCAGGAATTGAGATAAGTAAAGGCTAAGTTGATATTGATTGAGGGATAGAAACCAAATTTTAGGTGACTTGTAAGTTAGGTGATCTATAACTACACAGATGAAATAATGAGTTTTAGTGTCTTGGCAAGATCATTTGCTTTGGTATAATTAACACATTGCAGAAAAAGACACTTTAATATGTGAAACCAATTTACCACCTTTAGAGTATATGGCATGTAGCTATCTTTGACTTAAGTGATAACATGCTACGTTCCTCATGTGCACCTGATTCATTCTGAAGAAAGCAAGGACGTAAACAAGAAGCCTCTCCACAGCAGGGAAAAATACCTCAGGCACTAACCAAGCATACGGCATAATCACATCAGCCTTAATCTGAAACTATATGTGACATTTTACTATAAGAAAAGATGTTAAAATATCTTTAACAATTTTCAGCATACTGGTGAAAATAAGGTTTTCCCAAAACATCTACATTTTTATTCTGAACTTTAGCTTTGTTTTATTCCTCCCAAAAGCTTCTCTCACTTAAAAAAAAAAAAGCAATTGTTTCTCTCACTTTTAGCACGCATATATTTGCAATTTTGTAAAGCAATGGATAAAAAGTAAAGACCCAAAATTACTTGCTTGTTTTTCATACAGCAGTTTATCTTGGTGCCAAATATCAGACTAGCATTCTTTCAGAGTCTGAATTCTAGCCTCTTCCAGGGACTCACTGTGACCAGGGTTAGTTCCTTAAACTTCTGACACTGTCTCCTCAACCGTCAAATGGAGAAACCTCCCCACCCCTTTTTGTATTGGTCACTTAAATATCATCATTTCCTCAAAGCCTCCCCCAACCCACCAACATTACGGGAACCTTCCGGAGCACTCTGTGCTTGCAGTCCTTACAACATCACTGAAAGTGGGGAAGGTGTCTTATTAACTCTGTATCCTAGTTCTTGGTTCCCTCTAGTTACTACTCTCTTTCACACCTCTGCCTTTCAGCTTCACTGGGGAGGTAGGTGGGAGTGATAGGGGATCAACTGGAAATAGTCAGGTACTTCAACAAGAATCTAATTCTTTTATTAGCCATTAGCAAGAAGTATGTAAGATTATTAAAAAGCACATGTGTTGTGGTGAGAAGAAATGGAGTGGAGATGGGGTAAGATGCTTGTTTTCTGACCAAACCTGAAAGTAACAGGCTGCTCACATAGGTAATCACTGATGTGTGGGGATACTCAAATCCTGGAACTACGGCAGGGAGGGGTAGGGGACAAAGTAATACCAGGCAGAAAATAGGAGTGAGAATAAGGCTACAGCATCTGAAGGTGGATGGCATGTGCAAAACCAGCTTCTTTCACTCCTAGTACTCTCGAAGTAAGAAAAGGCTCTCAGGGCTGGTCCCCAGGCACCATTATAGCAACATTCATCATTTACATTTGTAGAGTTCAATGTCAAACATTTTCATTTATCATTGACAAAAAACCCTGGGTTTGGAAATAACACAGAATTGAGGACAATGGAGATCAGAGACTGTGAGAATGTATGACTTGCCCAAAGTCATAGACGGGACATGGTAGAGCCTGGATTGGACTTCCACATGCTACCAACAGGGCCTGCCTATATCTATCAACACAGGAGGAAAGATCTTCACACAGACATGGTCCCATGTACAATGGTCAAGTCATAAAAGACATGTTGGCATTGGAAAAAACCTCAAATCTTATCCAACAACTAGCCTTTTCATTTGCAGATGAAGAAACTAGCTTCAGAAAAGTAAAACAACTAGGCCAAGAGCTTATGGCAAGAATGCCAGATAGCCAGCTAGGACTAGGAACCAGATCTTCTATGCACTAGAGATTCATTCCTTTGCTTTAACTAAGACCTCAATTGCTTTAGAATGTAGAGCTATCTTAGGAGAGATCACATTTAAAGCTATCATTGGTTCTTTGGTCACTATAAACGAAGAACTTGAGGACAGGATGTAAAGGAGGCACAGGAAAGGTTACCGGAAGCTGACAGTCTACAAATCACACCCTGGAGGCCTCCCATGTGCTTCAAGGACTGGCCTTGATATCCTTCATTTTATGAATTTTGTCTTCTCTCTGAAGGTTTTATAAAAACACTCTGAGGCATGTATTATGGGGGTGGGTGGATGAGTGGAAAAGAGCAGTGCAGAGAAGAGGGTGGTGAATTTAGGAAACTGTGCTGGAAGAGTTCTTTAAGATCCAAAACCTTGTTCAAGCTTCACATCGGCCTATCACGACTTGTTAATATGTAATGAACGGAGACTTTTAAAAATTTTACATGAATCATGGAAAGTGACTTCTCTGGATACAAAAGCAAAACCCATCTTCTGGGACAGTTCACACTGAAATGTGCAGACTCACACTCCAATTCTCAATTATACAAGGTGACAGACCAGTAAAACCCAGAAATAATTATTAACTGCATTTTGCAATGATTTACTCTTCCTAAAAAACATTTTACAAGAGTTTCCCATTTCTTCTGTGTTAGACTCACAAGTACTTGACACCATCATATTCCATTATGTGAAAAGTAGTGGGCAACTCTGGATAGAAGGAAATGGTCCAGTTCTGAGGCTGATTCTGATCATTTAAGTTAGTTACCTAATTTTTCTAAGCATCAGTTTTCTCACTTGTAGACAGAGGATAAAAACTACTTTAATAGGTTGTCAGGAATTAATGGGTATATTTACAAGAATTCGTGTGTGTGCGCGCGCGCACACACGTGCTCGTGTATATCAATTAAACTGCTTGGTACATAAAAGGAGATTAACTTTTAGGATTAGATGAGGGATCACCAAACCACTAAGGCCTGAGAACACAGACTGAAAAATGGGTGCAATTCCATTTTCACCCTCAAACCGTTATGAGATTGTGCGCGCGCGCGCGCGCGCGCACGCTCGTGTATATCAATTAAAGTGCTTGGTACATAAAAGGAGATTAACTTTTCTTTTAGGATTAGATGAGGGATCACCAAACCACTAAGGCCTGAGAACACAGACTGAAAAATGGGTGCAATTCCATTTTCACCCTCAAACCTTGTTATGAGATCAGAATAAGCAGAATTCCTTGAATAAAGTAAAATGTGAGAAGGAGGCAGCATGGTCTTACTAGGAAGAAACGGTACTAAGACAAGAGACCTGGGTTCTGCACTAAGTTTGTATGACACTTTGGATCTAAGTTTTCTTACTGATAAAATGAAGATAAACTTAAAAGGTCCCATCAAACATGAAAGAAAAAAGCAGGAAGTAGGAACTGGCTACTTAGAAGATGGATTAGAGATGAAACTGGAGATCTGAACTGGTAATAACTACAGAGGCGGACACTGGAGGGCACCTCGGTAATACAGGTAGGAGGTAAAATCACTGATCTCAAGGTAGCAGGTTTGGGAAATGCAGAGCTGACTAAATATTCTGTTCAACATGCAAACAGGTCAG